GGGAGGGAGTTGCGGGGGGGAGGGAGCTGGTGCATGGCTCGGTTGGGCTGTGGTGGGCAGGAGCTGGTGCGCTGGGCTGCAGCGGAAGCCAGGAAGCCAGAGAGAGGACAGGGCAGTAGGGGGGCTAGAAATGACATCCCCTTGTTCGTAAAAATTCCTCATCCAGGACTAATCAGGTCCCAAGGGTGCTGGACCAGGGAAGGTCCAGCCTGTACAAATTTTGGGAAATACATCATGTACATGATAGATTTGCTTATTTGTCTGGATCTGGCAAAGAAAGTAGATGTTAAGAAACCAACCATGTTGGTTATTGTACAAAACTGAATTTGAAAGTCTATGCAATTCACAGTTTAAATCTGTTATAATAAAGCTATTAAGGGTAAAAATACTATTATAAAGTGTAACTTTTAATATGTGACTGAGATGATAGTGCTGAAAAACATTCTGATTTAATATTCAATTATTAAACAGCCTTAAGAACTGTTAAACTATACAAATACGTTTTTTGGATCCTTAATTGGTATTTTCCCAGTCTGGGTTTTTGTCAACCTATTACCATTGATATATTGCGTGAAACACACCCTTTGCTGGATATGGTTGACCATGACAGACGACCTAAAGTTTTGGTGAGTGAATGATTTATGTTGAAATCTTTCTGTCTCTGTTTATTGGCTGACAATTCTACATTTGGAGATTTCTTCTTCGTATAAAATCATAAACTTGACTTTTTTTAGTTTATTCCATTTTGTAATATGCTTTTGACTTTGAGGCCTACCTATGTACTTGTTTCTCTGCAACACTTTGAAGAGCTATTCAGTATACTTGTCTAACAAGTCAGTTTGGTCAGTATCTTTATTGACATTTACATTGACTCTCCAGTATAAAGTCTGAGGCATTTTTTTAATTGGTTGACTTGAAAAAAAAATGTTGCATTACAGTCTTTTATGTAGCTAACATTGAGGAAAACAGGCAAAACTCTGGATTTAATGGAGTTGCCTGATAAATCTGCTACTTTGGAAAATCTACGTGTTTTCTAAGAGAGATGGAGAGGTAACCTTCCCCCCCCCACCCCGCTTCCCTATAAGAATGTGACAACAATGGTAAGTTACTACTGCAAGCTGTTGCCTTGTTACTCAATTCACTATCTTTCATAAGCTCTCAGAAGAAATCTCCTTTTAAAAATCATCATAATCTTTATAGTTTCTCAAACTTGAATCATAAAACCATAGAGCTAGAAGAAACCTCAGAAGGTCAAGTCCAGCCCCCTGCTCTAGGCAGGGCCAATCCCAACTAAATCAACCCGGCCAGGGCTTTGTCAAACTGAGACTTAAACACCTCTAGGGATGGAGACTCCACTACTTCCCTAGGTAACCCATTCCAGTGCTTCACCACCCTCCTAGTGAAATAGTTTTTCCTAATACCCACCCTGGCCCCCTGCTCCTTGTTCTGCCATCTATCACTACTGAGAACAGCCTCTCTCCATCCTCTTTGGAACCTCCCTTCAGGAAGTTTCTATCACTATCAAATCCCCCCTCACTCATCGCTTCTGCAGACTAAACAGACCCAACTCCCTCAGCCTCTCCTCGTAGGTCATATGCTCCAGCCCCCTAATCATTTTGGTTGCCCTCCGCTGGACCCTCTCTAGTGCATCCACATCCTTTTTGTAGTGGGGGGTTCAGAACTGGACACAATACTCCAGATGTGGCCTCACCAAAGCCGAATAAAGGGGAATAATGACATCTCTGGATCTGCTGGCAATGCTCCTCTTAATGCAACCAACTATGCCATTAGCCTTCTTGGCTACAAGGGCACACTGTTGACTCATATCCAGCTTCTCATCCACTGCAACCCCCAGGTCCTTTTCTGCAGAACGACTACTTAAATGGTTGGTCCCCAGCCTGTAACAATGCTTGGGATTCTTCTGTCCCAAGTGCAGGACTCTGCACTTGTCCTTGTTGACCC